AATTGAGCATTGTTTGCCGACGGTCCTTCTAGAGCACAATGCGGAATTAATAAATTTTGTTTGAGTAAAACTGGTTGTTCTTGCTCGGTATTGTTGATGAGAGTTGCTCGATTTCCTCAACGTTCATCCGGTTTAACATCGATATCGATAGTCATGCTCCATCTCACGGTATGTATCACTAATATTTCACTTTTCCGACAATCCATAGCTGCTAACTTGAATAAACGCAAGAACAACAACGAAGCTATCATTTCTGTATGATTTAATCAATTCTAATCGTCATACCCAAACATAGAAACGCTGATCTCGATATACATGTGTGAAAGAAGACTGATCGGTTTCACAAGTTGGTATGTCCCATGGTATCCAAGGATTGAATAGATCTCGCATAGATACGGTGTGTTCAGATACATGCCGAGTTGGTCCTTCAATGGTGACTACCTTATTAAAGTTTGTAAAAGTAAAGCTTTCTGGCTTTCGTAAGTACAGTTTAAGCATATGAAATACCTGATTTTTTGACCCATACCATGGATAATTTCTCGCATCTGAATCATTGATCATTGATTGATCTCTTACAACCAACTGTGGAAACTCCCATGATGAACTAAAGATGAAATATTGAGATAGTGCATATTGAAATATAATGACAAACGGCATAACATGAGAACGAATCAAACTGCATGAAAGAACCAATAAATTGAATATAATAGAACCTGATAAGAAAAGTAGAGAAAGAATTTACGTACTATCCCATATCACCTATAGTTAGATGTACAAATTCAGAACGTAAGGTGAACAACTCAATTCTTTATATTCTCACCATAAGTATTGTGAAACTGAAAAATATCTACTTGATTGACAAAATCTTTTTTCATTAGATTTAGAAGGTACCTGACCTGCAGGTAATCACACACTTGAATCCATCCAACTTTCCAATATTCGTTACTTTCTATGGGACGAAAACGAAACGTGGCTGATGCTCCGAAGAAAACAATGATAGTGAGATTTTGTTTACTATGGGAGACGATCTGTAGCTGACGCGTACACAAACGATGGTGACTTATGTTTTAATACTCTCGATGAACTTTCATCAACTTCTGTTGGACCGCTTTCACTTGTTGTTTCAAAATTTACTACTGTAATATGTGGATCACGTTGATGCTCCAAAACGCGTACATGGGTATCTATTAGAATTAATTTTGAAAATTGCTCATTTAGTGTCAATGATCTGAAGAGAACATTAACTATCTTTACGACTGATTTCAAGTATTTTATATCATCAACTTCTATCCACTTACTTTTCAGAAGCATTGTTTTCATACGCCATAAAATGTTTA